AATGATGCAGGCCTGAAGTCCAGTGATTTCATATTTATTCTCTACACTGAAAATGGGAAAAAAAAATTGAGTTTTAAGGGACACTACATTAATACAGCTTTTGATTAATATATAACAATTCAATCAGGTGCTCATGAAATGACCTCACTCTCCTCATCCTACCATCCTACCAATTACACATCTTATTTTTGGTTTAATCTTCATAATTTGGTGTATATTTTGGCTGAACCTTAACTTTTTTCAGTTTTGGGGGGTTCATCTCTCTTTTTTTGAGGTTTTTTTTGCCTGAATCTCATTGGTTTGGGTTTCTCTGGGCTGAATCTTGATGTTTTGGAGGTTTCTATGGCCACAGGATGCCTGGTGAGTTCTAGAGATGGACTTGGGCAGGAGGAACCCCCAAGCCAACACGCTCAGCCCTTGTTTTCTCCCCCATCAGGATTTGTCCTTCCCAAAGCTTGGGCAGATGGAGGAGGAGGCTGCGAGGAAGAGGAAGATGCCTTGGGCCCCCCAGGCAGGTGAGGAGGAAGTCAGTGTCCCTTTGGGCGGGTGTTGTGCTGGCTCTGGCAGCCCAGCATGGCCCCTGGCTGCAGGACAACCCCGCTGCCGCCGCCGTCCTGCCGGGGCCGGAGTTGGGGGGATGTCCTTGGCCTTCCCTGTGGGCCGGAGGCAAATCCCCTCCCTGTCCTTCTTGCTTCCTGCCCCAGGCCCCGAGCTGAGGACGGAGAGCCCGGAGGACAAATCCCCGCGGCAGACGCTGGTGGGAGAGGCCGTTTTGAAGGGCTCCACGGCGCAGGAAGGCAGCGGGGAGGAAAAAAGCCAGAGATCCCCCTGCAGGAGGGGCTCCAAAGCCAGCCCAGGGTGCTCTGAGGAGGAAAGGCCCAGCCTGTGCTGGGAAGGCGGCCAGAGCTTGAGGGGGAGCTCTGAGCTGGTGGTCCCTGAGCAGCCTCCCAGCAGGCAGAAGCCCTTCAGGTGCTTGGAGTGTGGGAAGAGCTTCAGAAATAGCTCCAACCTGCTCCGACACCAGCAGATCCACACTGGGGAACGGCCCTACCCATGTAGGGAATGTGGGAAGAGCTTCAGGGACAGCTCCAACCTGATCCGACACCAGCACATTCACAGTGGGGAACGACCCTACACGTGTGGGGAATGTGGGAAGAGCTTCAACCAGAGCTCCAACCTGTTTAAACACAGTCGCATTCACACCAGGGGATGGCCCTACACGTGTGGGGAATGTGGGAAGAGCTTCAAGCACAGCTCCAACCTGACCCAACACCAGCATATCCACACTGGGAAACAGCCCTACACTTGTGGGGAATGTGGGAAGAGCTTCAGGCGGAGCTCCAGCCTCCACACCCACCAGCGCCTCCACACTGGGGAACGGCCCTACACGTGTTGGGAGTGCGGGAAGAGCTTCAGTGACAGCTCCAACCTCCACACCCACCATCTCATCCACACTGGTGAACGGCTCTACATTTGTGGGGAATGTGGGAAGAGCTTCAGGCGGAGCTCCAGCCTCCGCATCCACCAGCGCCTCCACACTGGGGAATGGCCCTACAAGTGCTTGGAATGTGGGAAGAG